GAGGGGGGGCCGGGGGAGGGGGGGGGAAAGCCGTAGCTAGATCGGAGTAGAGGATCCCGCAGGCAGAGGGGCACTTCTCTGTCCCGGTGGGGAGCAGGCGGTAGGGGGAAAGCCTAGCCTCTGTGGGGGGAGTAAACGGTAGGGGGTGTCCCTGTCTTCTGTGGGGAGTAGGGAGCGATCCTAACCCCGTGGGAGGAGGCGATTCTAGCCCCTGTGGGGGAAGTAGGCGGTAGGGGGTGGCCCTGTCCTCTGTGGGGAAGTAGGGGGTAACCCTGGTCCCTGTAGGGGGAAGCAGGCTGTAGGGAACGATCCTAGCCCCTGTGGGGGAGCAGGTGGTAGTCTGACCCTGGCCCCTGTGTGTGGGGAGGGAAATAGGCGAGAATAAGTCTGTGCCCTGAGTGGGGGGACTAGACTGCGGGGGATGGTTGTGGCCCCTGGCAGTGGGAGTAGAGTGTAACTGTCCCAGCAAGGGGGGGATTAGGCTGTAGAGGAGGATCCTGATTCCCAGATGGGAGGGGACTCCTGTAGGTGGGCAGGTTTCCCTGTCCCATAATCATCTTGATCTGGGGAGACCCCTGCGAGCCAGGACCCTCAGCCTGGTCTTACAGCACCCTTCTAGGAAGATGCCTGTGTTGTGAAGGGCCCCAGCTGGGCAGGGGCTCACTAGAAGCCTCCACCAGCCTACGACCCAGCATGGAGCCACTGAAGAACCTGCTGCGGAAGGGTGCCTGGGGGCCCGAGCGGAGTGGCGGAGCAGCCTACGCCAACCCAGTGTGGACAGCACTCTTTGACTATGAGGCAGCGGGCAGTGACGAGCTCAGCCTGCGCCAGGGGGACCGCGTGGAGGTGCTGTCATGGGATGCCACCGTGTCCGGTGATGAAGGTTGGTGGGCAGGCCGGGTACGGAGCCAAGTGGGCATCTTCCCCTCCAGCTACGTCTCCCTGCAGCCCGTCGGCTATGGCGACGGTCCAGTTCACGCTGACTTCCGGGAGCTGCGGCTGGAGGAGGTGATTGGGGTGGGGGGCTTCGGCAAGGTGTACCGTGGTACCTGGAAGGGTGAGCTGGTGGCTGTGAAGGCAGCACGCCAGGATCCAGATGAAGACATCAGTGCGACAGCAGAGAGCGTACGCCAGGAGGCCCGTCTCTTTGCCATGCTGCGCCACCCCAACATCATCGCCCTCAAGGCCGTCTGCCTGCAGGAGCCCAACCTGTGCCTGGTGATGGAGTACGCAGCCGGGGGCCCACTCAGTCGTGCGCTGGCCGGGCGCAGGATACCCCCCCATGTGCTGGTGGATTGGGCGGTGCAGATCGCCAGAGGCATGCAGTACCTGCACTGTGGGGCCATCGTACCTGTCATCCATCGTGACCTCAAGTCCAACAACAGTGAGTGTCACTCTGCAGTCATGGTGCCCCACAGGACCCACTGGCTCCTCAAACCCACCTTACAGCCCCCACCCCACGGGATTTCCCAGATCTATTAGAGTCCCTCATACACAACCTGCAGCCCCCATCCCATGGAATCCCCAGATCCACAAGTGTCCCTCAAACCCAACCTGCAGCCCCCACCTCATGGGATCCCCCCCACTCTATGGGTGTCCCTCCGTCCCGACTTGCAACCCGCCCATGAGATCCCCCCAGCAATATGGGTGTCTCTCAGTCACGACCTGCAGCCACCCCCTGAAGATCCCCCATCTCCATTGGTGTCCTCAATCCTGATTTGTAGTTCGTGGTAGATTAGCTACTCCAGCCAATTGGGCTGCCCCCTAGAAAAATGAGTGCCCCATGCTCCCTGCAGGAGTGCTGAGGGTACTGCAGGCAGGAGGGGAGGGGAGGGGTCCCCAAACTCCTAATATACCTCTGCCTGCAGCCCTCCAAAGAATCCCCCAAGTCCACTGGTGTCCCTCTGTCCTGACCTACAGAACCCTGCTATCCCAGCCCTGCCCCACTAGGCTCCTCCCTGCACCTCTCTCGCAACTCAGCTGGTGCATCTGGGTTCTGACCTCACTGACCCTGGGCTGCAGGAAGTGATGACAATTGTGGGGCCTTTGAAAAATGTGATTTTGGCATGTATGTAAAATGCAGGGGACAGGGAATGCGATACTGGGCCTTGGCCCTCCAAAGGCCACTAGTTCTGATCTAGCACCAGGGTTGGGGACTTGCTGACTATGGGGGTTCTGTTAGATCAAATGAGGTACCAGGAGCATCAGGCTATGTCTACACAGCAACCAAAGTCCCACTGCATGGCTGGCCTGGCTCATCTGACTTGGGCTTGCAGGGCTAAAAATTGCAGGGCAGGCATGGGGGTTCAGGCTGGGCCTGCAGGGCTCAGAGACTGGATATCCACTTGAGTCTTGAATGTTTACACTGCAATTTTATAGCCCCCCCAGTTCAAGCCCCATCAGCCTGGTCAGCAGAACCAGGCTTAGACTTGTGCGGTGGGTTTGTCTTCGCAATGCAGACATACCCTTAGAGCAGGGCTACTCAACTTTAGAAGCCCCAGGGGCCACAATGATACTCACAGCACATGCCAAGGGCCACAAATTAAGTGTGGTTGCATAGTCATGCAAAAATATATGCAAATATATGCAAATAGCTTCATTCACACTGACAGGCATGAATATAAAGATTAAGGCAAGACTACACAACACACAGGCTCCATTTAAGTCAGTTTCGCTGATATTAGTAAAATGCAATAATAGCCCAATTTCCACCCATATGACAGCACTTTTAATGAGCAATGACAGTCCAGGAATTAAATGACTAAAACACATATCAACAGAAGACCGTTATATTGGTTACTTTTTTGTTTTGGCTCCCACCCACGGGCTGAATGCTGAGCCCCATGTAAACCCAAACTGCACCGTGGGCCGCAAACAAACGCGGCCCATGGGCCATGTGTTGAGTAGCCCTGCCTTAGAGACTTGATGGTGAGAGAGCCTGGGGTCACACTGAGCTGGATTAGGAAGAGGAGGTGAATAATTAGTGCAGGAGTGACTGAGAGTCTATCCCCAGCTGTGGGAGAGGAGTGAGCTCTAGTGTGTGGGACAGGGCTGGGAGCCAGACCCCTGTGTTCTATCCCTGGTTCCTAACTAATCAATAATGAACTGGATAGAGGGAAAGGTTGGGGGGGCCTGTCTTTCACCCTGGTTGACCCCTCTGCCTATTAGTATTCTCCCGGCTCCTAAGGAGCCGATTGGCTGGCACTCCCTTGGCCCAGGCCCCATTGAATTACCAGCATGCCCTACTGCAGGGACCATTCACAGGCACATGTTGGGGAGCGGGCACAGGGACACCTGCTAGCTGCCTCCTGAGGTCATGCCTGGTGGCGCGCGCAGGCCCTCAACTGGCTGTGTGCAAATGGTCCCTCCTAGACCAACCCTCCACGTTCCCTCACCTTTGTGAGGCTGCAGCCAGCCCCTAAGGCAGGGGTGGTCTTTCTCAAGGACTGGGAGAGGGTAGCATTGTGGGGCAGGGAATTATCTTGCATCCTGGGGAACTGACACAGGCTGAGATTGGGACCCTTGAGGGGCTGGGCATTACAAGATCTCAACATCTCTCCCCAATTGAGATCAGGGCTCCATGGACCCTGAACCCCACATCCTGACTGAGATCAGGGCCCTAAAGGGCTGGACTCTACACAGACTCCAACTCCCCCCAACCAAGATCAGGGCTCCATGAGGCTGGACTCCACAGAGACTCCAACTACCCTCAACTGAGATCAGGGCCCCATGGGGCCAAACTCCACAAAGATGTTGATTCCCCCAGCTGAGATCAGGGTCCTGTTGGGCCAGGCATTGCACATACCCAGAGTGAGAGGATCTCTGCTCAAAGAGCTTACTGTTTGACTGGACTAATGGACGAGAGGGGAAACTGACGCACCCTGAAGGGAAAGGACTTACCCAAGATCAGCAGCAGAGCCAGAAATAGAACCCATGAGTCCTGACACCCAGCCTCCGTTGCTCTAACCACTAGCCTCCATGCCCTTTCCAGAGCTGGAATCAGTGGGAGTGTGGCTGGTGGTAGGAGCAGCCATTAACCCACATTTAGAGGGAAGGGAATGTGTCTTTCTAAATTAGACTAATTCCTGTTTGCCCAGCCAGCTCTGGAACTGGCCCCACTGGAGGTGCCTGGAGCTGGGGTGGTTTTGTGGGGGCAGAGCTGCCTGTCTTACACACACACAGTGAAGGGCTCCCTTTAATGGGGGCCTGGCTTGCCAGAGGGAGATGTAGCCTCTGGGGGATGCTGTGGAAGGGAGGACACTGCTTGGGCAGGGAATTGGTACTGGGGTGTCTGGGAGGGACTGGAGAGGAAAGAGTATTGGGGGCTGTGGTGGGGGACATGGGTCATTGCAGCATGGGAGGGTCCAATGCAGAGAGAACATAATATGGGGGAGAAGGATAAAATAGGGATTGCAGTTTGGAGGCTGTGGGGGAAGGGAGTGGGGATTGGGGGCTGCAGGCTGGGGGAGGGAGGCTCAGTGGTGGGGGATGTGGTCTGGAGAGCAGCAGGTGTGTAGGATGGGACAGTGAGGGATGTGATCTTGGGGTCTCCGGGGTAGGGGAGAGAATATTGGGGGGCTGTTGCCAGAGGGCAGTTGGAGCTGCTGTCCAGCTGTCCCCATTTCCCAGCTGTGGGAACGCCTGGTCTGGCTTATAGGGCCTCCCTTTTCAGCTTCCTGCCGGCAACTTCCTGCCCCAGCTTCCTGCTCCCCAAGGGGGGAGCAGAGAGAAAACAGCAACGGGAGAGAGTGTAAGTGCAGAGAATCCAGGAGAGGGGGTGAAAGGGATGAAAAAGCAAGGGACTCACGGGTGGGGGGGATTCCAACTGTGCTCTGGTGCTTGGAAAAGGGGGCCCATCTTGCTCTTCCCCTCCCTCCTGGAGGGACTCCCTGGCATATTGTCAACTGGGAGAAGAGAGAGAGGCAGTGGCTGGCGGGTTGGGGGGGGGGGGGGGGAAGGGAT